TGGGTTCCCTTTCCGAGAGAGCTCCCCCTGGGGTTCCGGCTCCTCGCGCCGGCCACGCAGAAGGCCCCAGAAACGAGCACAACTTCCACAACAAATCTCCAAGACGGCTCGAGATGGCTTCTAAGATGGTCACGTTGGCACAAGATGGCCTCCAGGATGGCCCAGGATGGTCCAAGTGGCCTCCAAGTCCGCCGAGGAGTCCGCCAAGACGGCCCAAGATGGCTCAAAGATGCTTCCGAATCCGCCCAAGAAGCCTCCAAGATGGCCCAAGACGGCCCAAGAAGCTCCCAAGACGCCCCTAAGACGTCCTCCGGGGAGCCCGAAGAGGCAAAATCATTGATTTCCCATTAGTGTTTGAAGGATTTGGGCACTTGCTTCTTTTCGGCCTTCCGACGGCCCGAGACGGCCAAGAGGCCCCCGAGATCGCACGAAGATGGCCCCAAAGAAAGACCTTCAAGATGACCTCATGACGGCCCAAAAGGCCCCCAAGGCGGCCCCAAGAGGGCCCCAGCCCAGGATGGCCTCCGAGACAGCCTTGCAGCATCCCAAGAGGGCCCCAAGTCAGCCCAGAGGGGTTGACGGATTTGCCATGGGGTTTTGACGGATTTGGGCATTTGCTTCTTTTTGGCCTTCCGACGGCGCGATAAGGCCCAATAGCCCCCAAAGGTCGCCCCAAGATCGCCCAAGAGGCCTCCAAGATGGCCTCAGAACGGCCTCAGAGGCTCCCAAGACGGCTCCAAGAGGGCCCCAAAAACGGCCCAAGAGGTCTCCAAGACGCCCAAGATGGCCTCCAAGACGACCCTGAAGCACCCCAAGAGGGCTCCAAGTCAGCCCAGAGAGGCCCCCAAGACGGAATCCGACGGCGTCAGACGGGCCAGAAGCCCAACAAGACGGCCCAAGATAGCTCCCAGAGTGCTCAAGACGGCCCAAGAGGCCCCCAAGACGTCTCCAAGACGGCCCAAGAGGCTCCCAACAGGGCCTCCAGGAAGGTCCTAAGAGGCCAAAATCACTAATTTGCCATAGGGTTTTGACGGATTTTGGCATTTGCTTCTTTTCGGCCTTGCGATGGCCCGATACGGCCCAAGAGCCCCCAAAGATCGCCCAAAGATCGCCCAAGAGGCATCCAAGATGGCCCCAGAACGGTCCAAGAGGCCCCCGAGACAGCCAAAAGAGGGCCCCAAGACGGCCTCAGAGGCCTCCAAGACGCCCAAGATGGCATCCAAGACGGCCCTGCAGCACCTCAAGATGGCCCCAAGTCAGCCCAGAGAGACCCCCAAGACGGCCATGAATGCCCTAAGACGGCCAAGGAGGCCTCCGAGAAGCCCCCCAAGGCCCCCAAGAGGCCCAAGGAGGCCCCCAAGATGCCTCCAAGGGGCTCCCAGGAAGCCCCCAGGAGACCCCAAGAATGACCCCAGAGGCTCCCAAGATGCCCCCTCCTTTTTCCTCCTGCTCCTCCTCCTGATCGTCCCCGCCATCCTCCCCGAAGTGTTCCCCGAAGGGCGTCCACCACGGCTGGGGGGAACACACGGTCCGATAGCTTGGCAGAGCTCTTGCTACAACGCTCGCCCACATGGCCGATTCCAACAGGCAGGGGGCGGCAGTGATTCGCCGTAGGCGTCTTCGATATTATCCACATCACTCTCTCGCTCTTCCTCCTCCTCCTCCTCCTCCTCCTCCTCCTCCTCCTCCTCCTCCTCCTACTCCTCCTACTCCTCACGCGCATCAGGAAAGGAATACTGCTGATCACTGCTCATCCGTCGAAAGCCGTCTTTCGCAAAGAACCAGACCTCAATCGTGCTGTTCGAGACTTCCGCCCACGTGCTACTCTGCCTACGTACCACATGGCGAGTGCCATAATTGGCGACGAATGGGCCGACAAATGACTTGTTCTGACTTTCTGACGACCGCAGCTGCCGGCCCATCCCACAACCGCAGCTGCGGCGGGAGCCCCCGCCCTTCTTCACCGCGCCGCCTAATGCGGCAAGCTCATCGGCACAGCGCGGGAGCTTGCGCGCGCTCATCCGAGCCTCGATCCTCCTCCTCCTCTTCCTCCTCCTCCTCCGCCTCCTCCGCCTCCTCCGCCTCCTCCGCCTCCATTCCTTTTGCTTGTAACTAACTCCTCCCTGTCGCACCCCGAGGCCGGTCCAAAGGGCGGGCCGGGCGTTTCACCTGAGACTTCCTCACCATTCATGAAGCTGAAGCACAGAAAATGGCAACAGCTTCACATTCAAAATGTGGCTCTCGCTTTAGCGCCATGCACAGTCGTTTCAAACAATTGCAAGAGGTTCACGGATTGAGGGCGGGTCGTTTTCAAAATGTGGCTCTCGCCTTAGCGCCGCGTACATTCATCTTAAAAGTTTGCAAGAGTTTCGCGGATTGAAGGCGGATCGTTTTAAAAATGTGGTTTTCGCCTTGGCGCCGCTCACATTCGCTTTAATGAATTGTAAGAAATTCGCGGGTTCCCATCGTCAGTCAACGTACCAGATATGGTGTTTTGTAAGGATTCTGGATTGTAAGGGTGCAACAGTAACGCTGATTCGCGGAGTTGAAATCCTAGGAACGGCAGTCTGGCACGATTCAGGGTCGTCAAGACGCAACAATCAGATTGATCCTTGGCGTTGGAGTCCCAAGAATGGTGTTTCGGCATGCTTCAGGGTCTTCAAGCGGCTGTCTCCCAATGAGGCAGTTCCCTGTGGAAATAAACCCTTGTAAGGGGCCTATGAACAGAGAGCTTGGAGGGGTGGTTTACTCCAAAATCGTTGATGCGTCTTGGGATTCCACTGATCCTCCTCCTCCTCCTCCTCCTCCTCGTCATTCTCGTCCTCCTCCGCCTCCTCCTCCTCATCCTCATCCTGCTCATCATCATCATCATCATCATCATCATCATCATCATCATCATCATCATCATCATCATCACCATCATCATCATCACCATAATCATCATCATCATCATCATCATCATCATCATCATCATCATCATCATCATCATAATCATCACCATCACCACCACCACCAGCATCATCATCATCATCATCATCATCATCAGCATCATCATCATCACCATCATCATCATGATCATCCATCTCCTCCTCTCCTCCTCAGCAGCAGCATCCTCATCCTCATCCTCATCCTCATCCTGATCATCATCATCATCAGCAGCAGCATCATCATCATCATCAGCATCAGTATCAGCATCAGCATCATCACCATCAGCATCCTCAGCATCGTCATCAAAATACTCATCATCAGCATCGTCATCATCATCAGCAGCATCAGCATCAGCAAAAGCACCACCATCATCATCATCATCATCATCATCATCATCATCATCATCATCATCATCATCATCACCAACATCACCATCATCATCAACATAATCAGCATCACCATCAGCATCATCATCAGCAGCAGCATCAGCACCATCATCATCATGAAACTCAGCATCATAATCATCACTAGCATCAGCATCAGCATCAGCATCATCATCGTCATCGTCATCGGCATCGGCATAGTCATCGTCGTCTTCATCATCAGCGTCAGATTCATTATCACCATCAGCAGAATCATCATCATAATCAGCATCATCATCATCACCATCATCAGCAACGTCATCAGCATCATCATCATTATCAAAATTATCAGCATCACCAGCATTACCAGCATCATCCTCATCGACATCAGCATCATCATCAGCATATTTGTCATAATCATCATCATCATCATCATCACCATCATCAGCATCATCAGCATCATCATCATCCTCGTCATCAACAACATCATCATCGGCATCAACATCTTCATAATCATTATCATCAGAAGCAGCATCATCATAATTGTCATCATCAGCATCAGCATCATAATCATCAGCAGCAGCAGCAGCAACATCATCATCATCATCCGCCTCCTCCCGATCGTGCGCCTCCACCTCCTCGACCTCATCATCATCAGCACAATCGATGATTACCCTCATGATCATGATCCTCAGCATCGTTCTCATCCTCACCACCATCACCGATGATTATCCTCATGATCATCACAATCAGCATCATCATCATCATCATCATCATCATCATCATCATCATCATCATCATCATCATGATCAGAATCACTATGATTATCATCGTCATTATCATCATGGTCGTCATCAGAATCATCATCAGCATCATCACCACCAGCATCAGAACTGACCATCATGATCAGCATCACGATAATCAGAATCATCATCATCATCAACATCATCATCATCATCAGCATTGTCATCATCAACATCAACATCAACATCAACATCAGAAGCAGCAGCAGCATCAACATCATCATCATCAGCATCATCATCGTTATCATCATCAGCATCATCAGTATCATCATCATCATCAGCATCACCATGATCATCATCAGGATCACGATCATCAGCATCACCATCGCCATCACCATCACCATCACCACCACTATCATCATCATCATCATCATCAGCAGCAGCAGCATCAGATTCGATGTCATACTCCTCCTCGACCTCATCCTCCTCCCCTCCTCCTCCTGGCTCCTCCTTCCTCCATACTCCACCCTCCTCCTCCTCCTCCTCCTCCTCCTCATCATCATCATCACCATCAACATCATTATCATCCTCGTCGCCATCGTCGACGTCACCATCATCATCATCAACATCGTCATCATCATCATCATCATCATCATCATCAGCATCATCATCAGCATCCTCATCATCGTCGACGTCGCCATCGTCATCGTCATCGTCACCATCATCATCATCATCATCATCATCATCATCATCGTCATCATCGTCATCATCCTCGTCACCACCATCATCATCATCATCAGCAGCATCATCATCATCATCACAACATCATCATCAGCATCAGCATCATCATCATCATCATCATCATCATCATCATCATCATCATCATCATCATCATCATCATCATCATCACCATCATCATCATCATGCACCTCCTCGACCTCATCCTCCGCCGCCTCCTCCTCGGCTGTCAGCCCCCCCGGCCGAACGTGGCCTCGGCCCGCTCACGCTCGTTGACGCAGCTGTGGTGGTGAACTGTCTGCTTGAGCATGACCCTGAGCGGCCACCCTCGGATCACCACGTCTCCCAGCACCTTCAGCGCCGCCTCGGCAAGCTGCTCGCTCTGCAGCTCCACGAAGGCATACCGACCGAGAAAGACCACGTCCCGCACCGGCAGCATGCCGCAGGCGGGGTCGTATTCGGGCAGGTTGGCGCAGACGTACTCCAGGAGCTCGTTCAGCTCCTGCTTCGTCACCCCGGGGGGTTCCAGATTGCCGATGTAGAGCGATCGCCTCCGGACCGACGGCTCAAAGCCGTCCAGCATGTCGTCCAGGGAGGGCAGCAGCCCCATCCGACGCAGCGGGGTCACGTCGAGGCTGACCGCCTCCTCTTCCTCCAAGGAGGCCCAGGGACACACAAATACATGAACACAAAGCCATAGTTTCCCATATTTTCAGGGTTTTCGTCTTCCCCCCCACCACTTCCCTTATTTTCCTACATGTTCCCGGGAGTTGACGATGAATTGTATCTGTGTGTTCTTTCCCTCCCGATCCTCATTGGGAACATTGTATCGCTTGGGCCGCAGCACGGTCAGCGGGCGCTCTCGGAACCGAAACAGGTGCATCTGTACTGCCGTGCTCGCCAGGACCGGGTCTGCGAACTCCACGAAGGCCGACATGAGGGTTTTGGAAAGTTTCACCTTCTCGACAGCGAACGGCAAGTGCGGGTACCAGTAGTGGAACTCCGGCAGCCTCAAGAACATGCCGTCAAAGGCTGCGGCCACCTCCTCTGCGTCGATCTGCCCCAGGTTCTTCATGTTGCCGACGAACACCTCGCGGTACACCTCGTGCGCCCTCTCCGAAGCCCCTCCCTGCGGGCAGAGCTGGCGGGCGAAGTAGGTCGGGTCGCGTGTGACGACGAGCTTGTCCTCCGCCTTGGCGTCCAGGCTCACGGTTGCGCTGTGGCTCTCTGCCGACACTGGAGCCCGAAACTCCACGCCAGGGGGGAGCCCCTTGGCCCACAGAGGAACGGCGGGCGGTGCTGTCGTCGGCGGCGGCGGCATCGCCGGCGGCGGCGGCATCGCCGGCGGCGGCGGCATCGCCGGCGGCGGCATCGCCGGCACCGCATGAGGCGCTGCGCACATGCCCCACGCGGGCCAGGGGTGGGCCCACAGCGGCATCCCACCCCACATGGCCTCCGAGAGGCCCGGCGGGGCGAACACCGACGGCTGCTGCGCCTCCGAGGCTGCCGCGCCCGGGGCGCCTGGCTCCGCGGCGGCGGCGCCCTCGGCCGTGGAGGCCGCGGCGGCAGCGTCACTGCCCGGGGGCGCGGCGGCCGCCGCCACATCGGCGCCGCCTCCGCTGCGGCCTGACTGCCGCCTCTGCTCTTTGAGGCGCTGCCGCCTCTGCCACGCGTGCCCCGGCGCACCAGAGGACTTCCCCGCAGGCGCGTCGGCGCCGCCGCTCGGCGACGCTGGCGCTGGCGCGCCGGCGGCCGCCCCTGCGCCCGCGCGGGGCGGGGTCCGCGCCGAAGCCGACGACGCTGACGAGCGGCCACGGCGCGGACGGCCGCTGCTGCAGGACGAGCTCGTGGCCGAGCTGCTGGCGGGCGACGGCGGCGCCCTGCGGACATCCTCGCCGCCCCTGCCCGCGACCGCCGGGCCTCCTGCCGCCTGCGCGTGCTCGCGGGAGGGCCAGCACATCCAGGCAGGGTACAGCCCGAAGCCGAACGGGGCGTGGGGCACGAGGGGCTGCGCGGGCAGAGCAGCGAGAGCCCCCGAGAGCGGCGCCTGCGGCCCAGGCCGCCGCCCGGGGCTGCGGCTCCGGCTGCGGCCCCTCCTCGAGGCCACCGCCGCCGGAGGGGGCGGCGGCGGCAGCCCGAGCGCCTCGGGGCAGCGGCGGGGTGAACCCCCAGGGCTTCGGCCCCGCACCCAGCACGTCACGCCGCTGCCCGCCTTGCGGCAGGCGAGCTTCACGGGGCGCCCCCCTGGCCCGCCACCGTAGATGACAGTGGCGGTCCACCTCCTGGTTCCGGCCTTGGGGCCAGCGACGGCGGAGGGACCGAGCGGCATTGACGATTGGTGGCCCAGTGCTTGCAAGGAGGGAGCCGCCCCGACCCCGATGCAGCGGTGCGCCCAGGACCGCACCCAGATATTCTTGAGCCAGGACAGCTACGGACGATGAGGTCAATGTAGGATCGTCCCCCAGGCCTCGCCCCCATGCAACATCAGCCCGACAGAGCCGCTGGGCCAAGTCTAGCCATCGCGACGAGGGCAGGGATGCCAGCTGCCGAAAAGTGACCCCAAGAAAGAGGGGCGAGAGAGAGAGAGAAAGGAAGAGAGAGAGAGAGAGAGATGGAGAGAGAGGGAGAGAGAGGGAGGAGGAGGAGGAGGAGGAGGAGGAGGAGGAGGAGGAGGAGGAGGAGGAGGAGGAGGAGGGGGAGGAGGAGGAGGGAGGAGGAGGAGGAGAGGAGGAGGACGAGGACGAGGACGAGGAGACGAGAGAGGAGAGGAGGAGAGGAGGAGGGGGAGGGAGGAGAGAGGAGGAGGAGGAGGGGAGGAGAGGAGGAGGAGGAGAAAGGGGGAGGAGGATTAGAAGGCAGAAGAGGAGGAGGAGGAGGAGGAGGAAAGGGAAGGAGGAGGAGGAGGGAGAGAGGAGGAAGAGGAGGAGGAGGAGGAGGAAGAGGAGGAGGAGGAGGAGGAGGAGGAGAGGCGGATCGGCTGCAATGCGATGCCACACTGCAGCCTGCGTGCTCGGGTCTGGCGCCCCGCCCCGGAAGCCGCGCACCAGAGGCCCATCCGGCGAAGGGCCAGCTCCCCAGCGTGTGCAGCCATCGCGCCACCACACGGCCGGACTCGGGGCAGAAAAACATCCTCCGAGAACATGAGACCCTCCGCCGGCCAGGCCGAAGAACGTTCGAGGGTCCCCCTCCCCCAGGAGGCACAGGAACACACGGCAGACACGAAGGGCATCCTCCAAGAGCATGATATATGAGGGGCCGCGGGACACACAAATAGGTAGACACACATCCATAGTGTTCCCATATTTTCCCATATGTTCTGGGTTCTCGTCTTCCCCCCCCCCCCACACTTCTTATAGTTTCCCATCTTTTCCATGGAGTCGACGATTAATTGTGTCTGTGAGATTCTTCCCCTCCTGACATGATACCCTCCGCCGGCCACACCGAAGGACGTTCGAGGGCACCCTTCCCCAGGATGCACATGGACACCCAGCAGACACGAAGACTATCAGGGTACCCTCCCCGAGTCGACCTCGATCTTCTACCTCGGTCCGACCGTAAGGAACGAAGGGGCTCATCTGGCCTTTGCGAGCCTCAGCTTCGAAGTGGCCCCCCGACCGAGATCTGCGGCACGGCTCGAACGCCAGAGCCCGTCACGAGCCCAGAGAAGTCGTCCTCCTCTCGGCGCCCTGACTGCAGCCGAGCGGAGGAGGCCCTGGACCAGTCGTTCAGCGCTTCACGGCTTCTGCCGTCCCCCGACTCGCGCTGGAGCAGCCGCGGCTTGCTCCGAGCTTCCTTGGAGACCCTCTGGATGTGCTTGGATGTCCCTGGATGTATCCGGATGTCCCTCGGCTACCTGGATTGGCCTTCATCCTCACAGGTCGATTGGCCGAACGTCGTCGATTGGCCGAAAGTCGTCGAGCCGGCAGGGAGCCCGGGGCGCTCCCGCCTCGGGCCGCCACCCGGCCGCCGCGGAGGCGCGGCGGCGGCCGCCGCCCGCGGCGCGCGTCCGCCATGCCGCCCGCCACGCGCACGCCTGGAGCCCTCCGCGGCTGGCTGGCGAGCGCTGGAGCCCGCGGCTCTGGCCGAGAACCTCGTCCTCGTCCTCGTCGTCGATGTTCTCGTCGTCCTCCTCCTCCTCCGCCCGCCCCCCTCCTCCTCCTCCTCCTCCTCAGCCCGCCCGCCCGCCCGCCTCCGCCTCCGCCTCCGCCTCCGCCTCCGCCTCCGCCTCCGCCTCCGCCTCCGCCTCCGCCTCCGCCGCCTCCTCCTCCTCCTCCTCCTCCTCCTCCTCCTCCTCCTCCTCCTCCTCCTCCCTCTCCTCCTCCTCCTCCTCCTCC